CCACAATGTTCAATCCACACTCGCACACCATCATCCTGCCCAGGAGAGGATTCACCGTGAAAGTAAAACCCAGATTCACGATAGTGCCCGGCATGGAATCAAAGGACTATGCAGCGGTATGCCGCCATCTTGCTATGATAGAGTCTGGTGGCACAATTACTGGCCCTGAATGTCAGGGCACACCTGCCTGACCCGGGCCCACCCGGGCCCACCCGGCCACACCACACCCGCTCCCCGCTGTCTATCCCCCTCCCCCCTCCTTCCTCCCTCTCCTCCCCTTTCTTTTCCCTCTTCTTTCCCCTTTCTTTATTTCATTCTTCTCATCTTCCTCTTCCTGTTTATTTCTTTCTATCTACACGGACCACCTTCCTTTGTATCGATGTACTATTGACCCGTCCGGCCCACACACCCCGGACGGCTTCCCGCTGTGCCCAGCACGCGCGCATGTAGCGGACACTCTCGGGATCCCCCACGGGGACACCCGGATGCCTGCGGCTGCCTCTGAGGATGACGTGGCACCTGTCATGTGACTCAAGCCGCATGTACATAAATGTACCTGAAGTGGGAACCGAAGAAGTAACCTTCTTCTCACATTCTCCACTTCAGGTAAGTAGTATAGTTTTCCCCTTTAATAATAATAACACATTCTCCACTTCAGTCTGAGTGGCCAGGGACCACTGTCCCGGATCGGGCCCGCCAGTACGCACGCCTGCTCCACACCCCGCAATGGCCTCAGTGCCGGATATTACCCCCGGGCCCTCTCGACCCCAGACGCGTCCCTGACACTGAACCAAACTTTTGGATGCAATGGGTGGAGGCTAACAACCTCACAGACGTGATCCTGAACGCGATTGAGTCTCACGCACTCCATGCTCCCTATCTAGAAGCGCAAGCCATCTTGAATTCTGGCACGGTCATGCATCAGCAAAAGTCCGTTATGCTCCGGAGCATCAAGAGTGGCTGGAGCATGTGGGAGACAAAACAGCAGATTGGGCACTCCTGGAGCCAATAGTGTTCTCCTGGGAGGGGGTTCAGGAGCAGCTGGGAGTGGTGAGGAGTATGTAATGTGCCAGGAACAGTGGGAGGAAAATTTAGGGAAAAATCAAAAAAAAATTCAGGAACTATAGTGCCTTTAAAGTGCTTTCAGGACATATAATTATTTGCAAAATTGAGGAAGAAATGATGGAGAAAAATGGAAAATACTTTCGGAGACCCGAGAAATAATGAGAACTGAATTGATGGGAAAGTCTGAAAATTGAATAGGAAAGCGAGGGGAAGCCTTGTAAGCATTGTTATTTTCTGCTGTTCTGATTTTTCCTGATTGTTCTTGGTCTCACTCCCAGCTGCTCCTAGACCCTCCCAGGAGCTTCCAGGAGTATTGAGGAGCAGCTGGGAATGAGACCAAGAAGAATCGGGAAAAATCAGAACAGCAGAAAATAACAATGCTACAAGGCTTCCCCTCACTTTCCTATTCAATTTTCAGACTTTCCCATCAATTCAGTTCTTGGGTCTCCAAAAGTATTTTCCATTAGCTGCTCCTGGACCCTCCCAGGAGCTTCCAGGAGTATCCAGGAGTATCCAGTAGCAGCTGGGAGTGAGACCAAGAACAATCAGGAAAAATTAGAACAGCAGAAAATAACAATGCTACAAGGCTTCCCCTCACTTCCCTATTCAATTTTCAGACTTTCCCATCAATTCAGTTCTCATTATTTCTCGGGTCTCCGAAAGTATTTTCCATTTTTCTCCATCATTTCTTCCTTGATTTTGCAAATAATTATATATCCTGAAAGCACTTCAAAGGCACTACAGTTCCTGAATTTTTTTGATTTTTTCCCTAATTATTTTTTTCAACTTTTTAGAAGTCCCTATTTTTCAAATTTTCCTCATTTCCCTCTATATCCCCCCTCATTCCCCCCTCATTCCCCCCTCATTCTCCCCCCTCATTCTCCCCCTCATTCTCCCCTCATTCTCCCCCTCATTTCCCCCTCATTTCCCCCTCATTTCCCCCCCTCATTCTCCCTCATTTCCCCCTCCCCCATATTCTGCCAGCCCGAAAGTGATTAAGTTGCCAGATTAATCATATATCAGGCCATAAATTTTGATTGTGTATTGGTGAGTCTCAGTGTCCTTGATATATAGTATAGTGTTTGATCTAAATGTTAAGCAGTGTCTTGTTGTGTTAGTCTTGTGGTAGGAGGTATTCATGGGGGATCTTCCCTCTTTTTTTCCTTTTCATTTTCAAATGCTCCAGGAGCTCCCAGAAGCTTCTCACCCCTATACACTTTGAAGCATTTAAATTGTATTTACTGGATATGTTTGTGCACAAAGCAATGCTCCAGGCCCTCCTGGGAGTGCCCTGGAGTACCTAGCCAACTCCGGAGGAAATGGGCTGTTCCTGGACCAGCCAATCTCCTCCTGATTCTCCCAGTGCTCTTGATACTCCGGAGCACTCAGGAGCATAACAATTTTTTGCTGATGATCGGTTCCCCTAGCAGGTTCACACGTCCACCGCCCCCTCCTACATCTCCCTACCATGGCCGAGAGTGGGTGCCACCCCACCACAGAGGTCCTTACACCAGATGCGGTGTTCGCGGACGAAACAAATACCGTAATGTTGGGACGAGGCCTACTGAACGACACACCAACAATGCGGGACCTAGTGGTGGAACCCCAACTCCAACCCCGACTCCCTACCCATTCACAAACACAGACAATGCACCAATCGACCCCAACAATCTCTTTGTGAATGCAGAATATGTGCCATCGGTTGCCCCCCCAAGCTTTGTAACACCGGCATCCCCTTCACTTTTGAGCACTATCGGCCATATGAATGACCTCTCAATGGCAACGCTACAGACGGAACACTCGGTCGACACCACCGAAAGAGCGGCTGCTCTTCAGCTCCAAAGAATGTCTAGACTTTGTCGTAAGTGCAGGTTCTGAATTTATTTTATTGTTCCCTTTATCTTTAGTATTATATACATGAGAAAGGGTATTCAATTGGGTTGCGGCTCCTTCGATTTGTGAATGGTGTCATTAAAAGGAATGAGTTGGGTCTCCGCACTGAACTTCTTTTGGGAGATGAAAAGAAGTGGGAGCCTAAGAGCAAGACTCAGAAACCCAAGCATGTCGACTATGCACTTATGTATTTGTTTGAACACTTGGACCCTTCGCTCCTCTTTTCACAAGAGTCTAATGAATTGCAGGGGGAATTTAAACAATTCTGGACTCAAAGCTTGGTCTTGTTCTTCGCAGCGGATGGGCAATTTTCTCCTGATTGGAATCAATTCGAGGTGAGCACCAAAATGAATTGTATTTCGATTTACTTTGTTTACAGAATCATGAGTCAATCTCTGTCATCCGTGGCACCCAGGAACTCTTTAACGATTACCCACCAGTTGTTTATCGATCCGTTCTTCCATTCACTCCAACGTTGCAAGAGGGCTAGCGGCTCTCTATGCCGACTAAGCTCGTGGGGCCAAACTCTCCTAAACTCTCTACTTTCTCTCTAAACTTCGCTTGACTCTCGATCCTTAAACTCCGTGTGGGTTCTCCGGGATTTCTGCAAGGTCCGGGCTCAGCGTCCACTACTCACTCGTTGTGAGCTAGACAGCTGCCCTTATTCCTACTGTTGGAATTCCACACACTCACACCCTCTCTAGCGCGTCCTAGCACCTTAGAGAAAAATGGGGGAGGGGAGAACTTCTTTTCCAAAATCCGGTATGTACAGGATATAAGGAACAATTATTTTTAGAATAATTGATGGGAAATATTGGTACCATATGGCACCTGGATACCTTATTAGGCGAAATAATAGAAAAGGGTAACAGTATCAATAAAAGAATATCAATCAATAACTGAAATGATGGCAAAATATGAAAATAAAAGAAAATAAGCGATATCTCAACGGATTTAGGGAATTAAGAGCCGAAATTGGAAATGAAGCCGGAGATAACTCTCACGCAGCCAATAGGCATTTTTACCAATTTATTAGATGCCGTGGGAACGAGTGAGGCTGGAATTCTGGGTTGCTGCTTGAGATTCCCACGCCCGCACATGCCCGTGACCTGCTGTGCCTAACTTCTCCAACACGGAACTCCGTCAAATCTCCACCGATTGGGACGTTCTTGATATCGTCAGAACCGTACGAATTAGGACTATTTTTGGGTACCAAATTCATATCGAGTTGTCGCGTGAATGGAAGTGGTTTCTGAATGTTGGAAGCGGGTATCTGAGCCGGCTCTGTGCGTGGGCGATTATCCCGCCTACAACGTCATCACCCATTTACAAATATTATGGTCATCTCTTGGACCCTGTTCGGGTCTTTAGTGTCTCCGGCGAGTTTGCCAGAAGCCACGTGTGAAGCCATGCAGCGGGCTTAAAAGGCTGCTGCGTTCACTCTTGGCTCCCCGTTTGTCATCTCGCCCGAACTGACTTTGGACACTACACTGTGGGAAGTCCCCCCATCAGATTGTACTGGGTTGTACCATCACCTAATCGAAAATGCCAGGAGTCCCTATCAGCTTTTTGGAAATGCTCAGTCGTGTGTAGTACCGGGGCTACCTAGCATCTGGATTCTGACTTACATATTGATACCAAAAGACAATTTCGCACATTAACTTAGAGGATTCCAATCCCTCATTCTCATCATCGCTGAGTTCCATGACAAGTCCGTCCAGGTGTGCATGTGGGAAGTTCCCCATCAGATTGTACTGGGTTTTACCATCACATTAAAATACTTATCATTTTCTTCGAAATGCTGCTCAGTCGAGTGGAGTACCAGGGCTACCGTAGGCATGTGATTGTTGGGAGCAAGGAGACCATTGGGAAGAGTGGAAGTGCGGGGCGCTAATGTCGGTTTTGGGTTCCTTTCCTCATCCTTGTCGGTTCGGGAGTTGCCATTTACTTTGGAACTTCGTCTCACCTGTCATCTCTCTTATCTCTGTGTTCCCCCCACACTCATCCAATCAATGCTGGATATCCGTAATATGCGCAGCCATGTTTTTCTTGGCTGGCCCTCTGTTTTCTGCATCCTAATACGTGCTTCAATGCTTACTATTGCCAATACAGGTTGAGTGATCTTGCGCAATCAGCTCATCCGATCTTGGCGATCAAGCCTGCATTGCACCCTTTGGTGGGAGCCATATCTGTGTCTGCTATTTCGTCTCTTCAATTCTTGAGTCCGACACTGTGGGCCCATGCTCTGTTGCACCGTGCACGCTTCCATTCCAATAGTCAGGCTTGTACAATTGGACGCGTTCCCACACGTTTCGACGTGTTCTTCACTCATTGATGCCAAGATTTTGGGCCAACCGACATGGAAGGACGCAGACCAGATGTGTTATCATGGCATTGCCCAACGCGCTGTTGCAGAGCCTGCACTGGTGCCTAACCACAAAGTGTGCCTACTACTACGCTCTTAACTTTCCTCCCCTTCCCATTTCCTTGCTAACTTTCTACTCCAGGAAACAATCAAACTTCCCAAAAGTGACCGGAATTGGAAGACAATAGCTTCCTCCGCGGCTAAAAGGCGAACTCCCGTTGGTGAGGTACAAAGAGTGCTGGAACCCCGCGGGTCGGGTTTCACGGATGAGCAAACTATGTGTTCCCCACCGTTCACCCCACCATTCACCTCATCATTTGCTTTGCGATCTACCTGCCATATTTACCCCACTGATTATTGTCATCCTATCTTCGAAACCGACTTGCTCTTGGGACCTACGCCGGCCCCACAGACCCCGAGGGGTTATCCCTGCAAAGGTGTGTTCAAGCGCGAGGTTTAGCGCGAGGTTTTCTCTGCACCCTCAGTATAGCCTTGGGGTATTATTTTCTCCGACACTCGCAATGACAAGCGCCAGTGTATGCGTGTATTACTATATACCAAATGAATATATTATGATTTACTATTAAAACAGGCGGGGTTACCTATCAATAACTTCCAGGGCACCCTGTCAGTATTTCCGGGGTACCCCGTCAGGATGGCCCCGTCAGACTGCGCATATCTGATAGGAGGTCCCGGCACTCGAAATCTGATGGTTGGCCCCGTCAAATGGTAATGGGGCTACCTAGCAGGGCTGGTACCGGGGCAACCCTACACCATCTGCCGGGGTTACTTCCCACTGTGACTATGTAGTACTAACAGAAAGAATGATTTCACTTTTATTTTCAATTTGGGCAGCTTGTCACTTCTTATCTCATAATACGACATGGCATCCACCTTCAAGCGAGAAATGTGCATGTATAAGATACACTGAGGATGTATGCAGCCTCTAACAAAGATGGCTACAGAGTAGGAAAGCACAGAAGAAAAAGTAGTGTGACAATGTTTCGATACTCTGATTCGTGTGTAAATTTGAAAACACCTCAAGGGCTTGCATCTGCAACACCAACAGAAGAGGACCTCATGCAGGAATAAAAAAGCCACCACCACGGCATGAACGAAGCTCAGATAGAGCTAATATTGATTACACCTCGGTGCGAGGGGTCCGTACATATATATCTTACCGCCTGCCTCAATTTGCCCAACAACGGCTGAAACCAGAGATGTCAATCACCTCTGTTGCTTGAGATCTGTTCCGGTAGTAGCAGGGGCATGATGCGTGCAAGAATGTAGATGGGAGAGGGGGGGCGAGCAAAGGTGCCCGTGGGTATAAAGTTTTTTCCGGGCAGAGACGAACAACAATAAGATCCAGGAGCTGTCCGTAGTGGGTGACCCACTCAAACTCCTCTTGGCGATGAGGGAATGTCGAGTTCTTGTCAACCAAGAGCGAATACTGATAAAAGGGAAATCATGTAGAGGCTCAACAAAAAATGAGAGTACACTGGCTCGTATATATGTAGCATCACGCCCAACCGTGAGGATGAATGCAACATGTGCGTTGTGTCACCGGGGTTCCCCTTGATGAAGACAGCGTGGAGCAAGCTAGATTGAGCGAAGAAACTTCCGATATCTGGTTGTCGGGATTGGAGAGGACATCGAGAATGGTTGATGGGTCTGAGTGTAGGGGTTGGGCATAGTGAGTTGGAAATGAACAAGAGATTGTCACGTACATTCAGCGGGAAAGCTGGATAATGTGTGACTTGAAAGGCCGAGCGTGTCAGTGAGGTCGTATATAATCTTTACCTGTGATAGCTGTGCATGATGTTTGGTTTGGTGTGGTTGGCCATGTTTCCCTTGGGGTGGACACGACTCTTGATGCACCAAATCGCTCTATCGGGAATGACCAATAACACCAAACAGACTCCACTGTCTCAATCATGTCTGCAATATGAAGTAAGGAGTGTACAGTCACAGGGCACGCCACGCACTCGAGCGTGCAGGACCCTTCATGCAATATGGCCTATCGATAAGGAATGAATTCAGCATGAAGTGGTGGGAGATGGAATGACATACTTTCGTACTCAAGAACCCAATCCCTGCATCCACCACCCATCCCTTACATCCTCCCCAGTTAGAACAGACTTCGGGTGTTCGAAACCAACTTCGGAAGAAAAAGCGGGGGACCAGGAGAGAAGGAATGAAAGAAAAGAAGAGGAATGCCGCTCAAATCGGCGCTTTTTCCAGCCTCAACGGTGACGACAACGTTTCGGAGTCACCGAAGCCGATGTCGGAGTTGGCGGATTCGGTTCCGGAACCGGCAGGCTCGACTTGGGTGGTAGGAGTGAAGACTGAGTCATAGCCGGTGAAGCATAGGCATCAGCACGCAGCAATGGGATTCAGATAGGGTTTGGAAGTTGCAAAGGTTGATATGCTGAAGACGTCTCCAAACAATGTCCCAGCAGTCAGCATACTTGCGGGATGGTCTAATCAGAGGGGTCTCGGAGGTTGTCCAGCACATCGCATGTGTGAGTCGCACATGAGAAAGGCCTAGGGGGCGTGAGTACGCGTCTGGGATACCGCAAGCGCGCGAATATCATAGAGGGCGCATTTCTGAGCGTTCGCGCATGTACAGACGCGGGGGAAGAGCGAAGGAAGGCCCAGAGAACGTGGGTATGCGTTTGGAATGCCATCAACATGTGAATAACATGTGGGTACAGAACTAGAGTGCAGGAGCGCGCGTCTCAGGGCGCGAGCGCGAATTCCGCGTGTTTTACCCAGGAAGCGTGTGGGCGGGGGCGAGGGCGTTTGAGGAAGAACCCAGAAGTTGCCAGAATGAGTCTGAGGTGCCATGACGAATGGATTAAGCGAGAGAAGTGAAAGAAGTGAGGAAGTAAGCCGAGCGCGCAAGCGCGCCCGCGTGATGCGCGCGCGGGAATTAAACCTAAAAAAACTGTGAGGTCGGTAAGGGGACCCTGATGACTCCCATTCCTCAGTCCGTAAGTTGAAACTGGGGTTGAGGGTGAAACCCTTTACCCGACCCCGTGACATGCAATCGTCGTTCTATGAATGAATGAAATGTGCACAACAGCAATTATGGAACACCTGTACAAGCTCAAAATGAATGCCCTTGCCAATGTGACAAATTCCCCCTTCTCTCAATCTCATGTCAGACACGTTCTAGGGCACTGGGACACCTTGCTATTGCTGCTGTATCGGAATTCACATTTGGGCATAAAGATCTGCGTGTTACGAAGTCATAAGTCCTGCCTGATGGGGACCGTTGCATTTGCGTTAACAATTGCAGGTGGGACAGTCTGGCCCCGGGCCGTGACTGTGCCTCGTAAGTTTGTTACCAAGGGCAGATCCGCCTCAGAGATTCTGACCGCAAGCTAGACATTCAGCGAATGCGGTGCCGGATTCAAGATTGGGACCGAATCTCAACGATGGCAAGAGTTATCAAATTTGTTTCTGGTTACCGATTCCGAATGGTTTAATTGCAGCTCGAAACTTGGCGTGGCTGCTTGCACCCGGCACCGAGATCTTTGTTTGTACCATTTATTGTATCTAATGACCTCAGATTCTCCGCCGCACAACTTAAGAATGCATAGATGTTTGAACAGAATATAAATGCATTGGATCGTACGAAGATTTCTGAAAAATCCCGTCGATTCAGATCGAGGTTGGCGTGGTTTGAAACCGATTGCCATTCAGTGATCTGAACCGGGGCCCGGAGGTGTCCTGATGCGCCTAAAAGTTGCGGTTCTGGCGAATGCAACTATCGCTGGTGTGCGTATAACCTTTTGTCCAAGAATGTTTCGCCATCTCTTCGCAACACGTACGGGCTGGTCACCTGACAAGAATCAGTCTTCATACACGCTGGTTAGCGGTGCGCTCTTGTTAGCCGTCGCACTGAGCAAACGACTTCACTCGATATACGTAATTCGCCTCTTCAACGACTGTTGGGCTGTTTTCTTCGTTCTATCGTCCTTCATTTACCCAGCCGTCATATTTTGCTGCGGCAGTGCTTTGCAGGCATGACAGTAAAACCGCTCGCCCCCATCGTCCGGAGCATCGTCTCTTTCCGTCAACATGAGCGTGCTATTGGATACTCTTCATTCTGGTCAAGGACGTTGGGGTTTTCTACACCCCTAGATACATCAACTTGAAATACTTGTGGCGAAAACCTTTCCTAGAACGGTATTGCAGGGAATGTTTCTTACATGCGTTAAACCACTCCCGCGTGTTCCTCTCTAAATGGACGGCCAACTGGGGGTTTTCCCTCGAAGTCAAAGCCGTTCGCCAATGTCTTCCCATTGGCCACCTGATCACCTTAGTCCTCTACACATGGTGCGCAAATTGATGGGGATGCCATATTGACCTTTGAGCGAGCTCTAAGAGGACCGAGTGGGGACGGAGCCTTCTCAAATCTTCATGGAACGGTACGCTTGTCCCGACTCGATGACCCCTGGCATTCCGCCTTTCGTTGTTAATTGGAGTCTGGCTAGTATATCCCAGCAGAAGGTGTTACACCCAGCCTGGATCTGTACAGAAGGGGAAGTGCCTATCTTCCCAATATTTCTTCGCTTTGCGGTTTATCAAAGAGTGCTTGCTACGCTATGCCTACCGCCATTCATGACTGTAAAACATTATACCCCGCGCGAGTCTCGAAAAATTGTGGTCAGCAGGCCCACACCCTCTCCCATCTCAACGTGCGTTATCATAGCACCTGTGCCATCACTGTCCAGTTCTATCTGCCTTCACGACACTTCGGGGCGTGTCGTCATCGCAGACGCCAAAAGCATGCCTTCACTGATCTTCCTGTCACACCTGTATTTCCCAATTGGGACAATGCACAATTTTCTAATCCTTATCCGGATGTCATTCAGTTCTGTTAGGCAGGACTCCAGCCTCTATGACTTCCTAATATTAGACAGTTCTGTGACTCCAAGTGTCGCCGCCCTCTATACTACAGAGGCTGGTCACCTGCCTACCGCCGCGCCCAGTGACTGCGCAATCGATGAATTCAATATCGCTTCTGTAATTCGATGGGTGGCAGAGGAACTACCGCCACAACAAGGCACCCCAGTCCAAGAGCCACGCGTTTCACTGTGGTGCACTGCCGTAGCTAAATTAGCTCAAACCACGCGCCTATCAGTGGCTTGGAATGAGTTCCTAACTATCTTTCTTTTCATTGAATTTACATCGTGGACAACGCATTCTTGCCCGTCTCCTTCACACGACTATTTTAATAGATGTACGAAGTGGCGGGTGGAGAGTCGATCTATTTACCCTCTGACCCTCACATCGACACTCGCACCATGGACCGCCGAAAACGACGACCCTCTACCTATGAGCCGGAACCTCACCCACCAAAGCGGCATTCCCCTATCGCACCCGATGGCAATCAACGACAACCATCCCCCCCATCTTCATCACTTGACCCCTCCCATTTCCATCCTGCCAACCCGCGGACCCTCCAAACCGGCGACAATAGTCTTCATGATTGGCACGGTGGAGCGTATATTGTGGCTCACAGAACCACAACCCCCCTAGGCGGTGTGACGACGCTGCCTGAGCCATCTTACAGTCATCTGCACCTGTATACCTCCCCCCCATCACATCCAGTCCTTCCTACTGACCCCCAGGCTCACCAAAGCCGCGACATTCCTCACGATTGGCGCAGCAGGCCAGTCGGACCGTATCCCGGGGTTCCTGGACCGGCGCCCGCTTTTGGTCCTTCCGGTGACCCTTGGCCTTTCCCAATTCCAGAGCTTGAGCTGCCTGAGATATCTGACAGTGGTTCACGATCACATGCTTTGGTCTCATCGCTTGACATCCATCCCACCAGCTCACAAACCCCCTGCGAAGGTATTCATCATGATCGGTGGGATGGATCGACGGAATCTCATCCCGAAATTTCCCGGATTGTGCCACCACGGTCTCCTTCCTGCGATCTCCAGTCCCTCGCGCCAGATATGAAGACCTGGCGGTCAAATGTCAATACTATCAGCCGATCGAGCACACCTGTCCCAGGAGTATCTGCTACCACCACGCCTGCACATTCATCTCCTGCGCATTCGGACCGATTGCCATCCCCCTCCCCGGCGCCATCGGGGTCCGAAGCCCATTGTGATATTCCCAACCCTTGGGGTCCCTATGACAATGATGCATGTGTCCGCACACAACTGGAAAATGCAGGGTTGGATTTACCTGTACCCCCTGTGTCAGAACCGACTCTATCGTCGCCAGCTGGCCCGTCGGATGGCAAAAAGGAAAGTATCATTAGCACCACTAGACTCATTCTCCAAACCGCATCCTCCGCTCTCAAATTTTCGCCTGTCCCGCTCCTCCTTCACATTCCGGACTTACTTCTCATGCTGCTTCAGGTTTACGAGGTTCGGATACAGTTTTCACAGTTAATGATGATATATCCCTCACTTTTACTTCACTCATATAGAACGTTAGCAATAATAACAAAGCTCTCAAAGGGTTGAATGATGATGTGCAAAGTGCATACAGCACCATGTTACGGCCACTCCAACTGTGGACGGGACCGATACCTCCCGAAGTTGTTTTTCTAGTGAAGGAATTACATTTGTATGTGGATGCTGTTCCGATATTTGGTTCATTGATACCTAAAACACTATTGACAGGGCTCTGGAAGGCCAGGTCAAGAGGATCAAGTCACTTCAGAGTCAGAATCGAAATCTCTTCAGGAAAGTATTCACGACGGGCCCGTTAGTGCAAAGCATAACTGACGTGAGGGCGAGTATCAGTGTGGCACTCTCCCGGTTTGCGGTACATAAGATTTGAATTCATGTGGCTATACTTTGACTGATAAAGTGTGCCCTGTAGACGGCGGCAACAACTTTAAGCCTTCTCAATACAATTCAAGTGTCGGTGGACTGTTCGTCTTCTTTCCTTGATTCTAGATTCTTTGTCTCAGTACCATTTTCAGGCGAACTTTCAAAACTGCCCGGAGCAGATGCCGAATATTACAATGTGAAGAGCAAATCAGAATGCCTCAAAACCACTCGGGACAAAATACGCCGCTCAATTCTCAATCGCCTAAGGGACCCTAAGAACCGATTTGTCTGGCTGCGTGGTTCGCCTGGGACTGGGAAAACCGCGATATCTATAAGCGTAGCTTCCACACTTGACAAGCAGCGCACGCTTGCAGCATCCTTCTTCTGGGATAAAAGCCAAGAGGGGACGGGACTCGATTCGATTGAGCGCTTCCCCTCCACCCTTGCCCGACAGCTTGCGACATTCAACGCCGAGTATATGGGCCTGCTTATCAGGCAACTTCGAGAGCCCGCTCCATTCGGCAGTATTGGTGGTTCTGCTGTAGAGAAAAAGGTGAAAGCTTGGATCATCAACCCTATGCGTGAACTCGGGGGTGTATTGCCCTCCGGAAAGGGTTGCCCTGTGATTGTATTGGATGGACTCGATGAGTGCGGGAATCCAGAGGTGCTTGCGTCTCTGATGAAGCTCGTTCTTCTGCTTGATGAGCTGCCTTCGATGTTTGCCATACTTGTCAGTTGCCGTCCAGAGCCGCAAGTGTTTTCTGCTTGGGCTCGAGCTAATCCTCATCTTTCGATCCCTCATGAAGATATGGATCAGATTGCAGAAGATGCGAATTTCCACACGATCCGTTGTATGGTCGTGAATGGACCTCAGGATTGTACCACGGAGTCTCCCTGGAAGCCGACCAAGGAGGACCTTGATGCGTTCTCCTCAGCTTGCCGTGGCTTACCGATTATCGCTTCAACCCGAATACGTGACGTCCTCCTTCAAATTGAATGCGGCTCAGTGCTGGAATCCGAGTTTGATTACTATCGCAATCTCATAGATGCACCGCAGGATCTGAACTCGGAGTACTTGCGAATAATGCGACGGGCCTATCTACGACAGCGTCCAAAAATTGATCCACACATCGCAGAGAAATACCGTGAGGTGGTTGGGATGATGATCGTCCCACGGTGGGTATTCGGCGTGTATGGGATATCACAGCTCCTTGGAACGTTTTCTGAGCATGAAGTGCGCTCAATGCTCAAGCCCATCAGCTCAATAATCGATTTACCCTCAACAAACACAAGGCCTGTCAAATTCTACCATGCGACAGTGAAGGAATTTATCACAGGGATTCCGATTGGCAAGAAAGAGGATAGAGTATTCTTTATTAGCGACGAGAAAGGATATTCAATTGGGTTGCAGCTCCTTCGATGTGTGAATGGTGTCATTACAAGGAATGAGTTGGGTCTCCCCACCGAACTTCCTTTGGGAGATGAAAAGAAGTGGGAGTCTATGAGCAAAACTCCGAAATCCAACCATGTCGACTATGCACTTACACACTTGTTCCAACACTTGGACCCTTCGCTCCTCTTTTCACAAGAGTCTAATGAATTGCAGAGAGAATTTGAACAATTCTGGACACAAAACTTGGTTTCATTCTTTGCAGCAAAGAGCGAAGGAACACGAAACTTGCACTCCTTCACCGCGGAGGGTGAAGGGAAATTTTCTCATGATTGGGTTCAGTTTGAGGTGAGCCCGGGGCCCGAGTGGGTTGTATTTCAATGATGTGACATCACTTGTTTTACAAGTCAATCTCTGTCATCCGTGATGCTCGGAAACTCTTCAGCGGTTCCCCATGGGATGCTTATCGGTCCGGCCTTTCACTCACTCCAGCATCATCATCCATTTACAAATATTATGGTCATCTCTCGGACCCTGTTCGAATCTTCAGTGTCTCTGGCGAGTTCGCGGGGGGGTTCATTCCTTTAAGTGATGATGCACACAGAGCTCGAAGAGCGATGGAAGCGGAGCTGGCTACATTGCCAAAGAAGCCGTCATGGAGCTGTGAATGGGAGGCCGGTTATGAAGCTGAGTTTCGTAACGACAATGTTCGCAATGGTACTGTGACCTGTGCGGCGCTCTCAAGAGATGGCCATCACGTAGCCCTTGGATTCGGAAGTGGTATTATCGAAGTAGCTGACATTGACAATCAGCACACAATCTGTCGATTCCAGAGCGATCCGTCCTATCCTCCCGTTTGGATTGAATTTATCCACGGTGGTGATGTCCATATTGCCACTGAAGATACTCAAGGAAACACTACCATTTTCAGCCATGAAACGCCCCCGGTAAAGCTTCGCATTCCTCCCAGTAGTCATTACCCTCCTCTAACTACAGTGTCGGACAATGGATGTTTTGTTGTACGAGTCCCACGAAATCTTGAAGATGTTTGGTACGAGAACACAACACTCTTGTGTATCTTGGGCAACCCATCCATTCAGCTTCTCGCGCCTCCTTCCACTGCTCAGTCTTCCAAACACTCTTCCCTTCCTTTGCGACAATCACTTGGATTCTCTCCTGGAGGCCGATATGTCTGCGCTTACGATGCGCATGATGCTTTTGTCTGGTCAACATATTCAGGCGAATTAGTCGCACGGTTTTGCGCGCAAGGCTTCGACAAGTGGATCATCAATACTGGTGTTGCCCCCCTTGCTCATATTCTATCCCCACCTCCATAATCCTTCAGTCTGCCATTCCTTTGATCCCGGAAGTGGATATGAACTGTGGACAGACTTCCGACTCGTTATTGTCCAGGTACGACTCAGATGAATCTTGGCTGAAGTGCCCTTTTTACGACCTTCACCTGCCATCTGAAAGGAAGGATAGGATAAAAACCTACTCATATGCAGCAGGAAGGGTCCCATTAATAATTTGCTTCTATCCCCAGGCTGAAGGGCAGTACGATCACGAAATCTTTCTCGATGGGATAATCGAATTCACTTTGCGATCGCTTCGGGATCACGAAGTAATCAACCAAAAGGTGGTTCATAATGCGGATCTCAAATTCATGGCAAGGGCCTGGTATGGTGACCGGTATATATATATGGAGGACAATAGGTGTCGCGATGTCGTTGCGCAATTCAGCGACTTTTACCTTCCCCAGGCTAGTAAAGATGGAACTCGATTTCTTATCCAGGGCAAGATGAAGGCCCCAATCATCGTTGATATCAGCCAGGTTGTTTAACATCCAAATCCCTTTTTCTCGGTTACTGTCTTCATTTTGCGACGGAGCGGATCAAGAGTCATACTGGCTTATTACATTGCGCGTAGGGCTGCAGTGTTAAGTAATGCCCGTTGAAATAAATGACAGCCCCTAGCCATTGGCACCTACAAAGCTTTGTGGTCGGAAAGCTGAAGTCTGCGGCAAAATTGCGGCAGAGACGAATCTCGAGAGTCTTCAGAGCCGTTCCGAAATCTCCACTGCACAAACATCAGAGGAAAGAGCATGGCAAGTGCGAGTTAGACTGCTTGCATGGCTCATGCGCCAGAGTCAGAGACTCCAATACATGATCCTATAATCCATTCCCAGCATGCAGTGAGCACGTTGCAATATATGTTGAAGACACTTCAGGGGTATTTTTGGTTGATATGGAGAATGATATTGGGGAGCGCGCAGTAACCGTACTCTCGATCTCGCGGTCACATTGCTTAAAGATAAGTAGACGTTCTATGTGCCGAGCCTGGCGCACGTAGAGACATCAGACACAGCTGATGTCTCAGCCTTACTGACTGACTGTCTTCCATTATTCGTTCCAGTTGAAGTGTTACTGCCCTGCACGATGTGCTGGGACTCACACCGAATAACACACCTGATGTAATGACGTTACAAATTATTTCCCGGGCCCTTCAATGTGGCTAGCATGCACCTCAAAATTAAATACGAACACACGCCCATGCCAGTTTAGATTTTCCCGAAAGAAATTGCACACCATGTGTGGGTTGTTCTTTAAGTAATTTAGATCGTACCTGGCAGCTGTATAGTAAGACGCAGAGGAAATCCGCGAGTACTTATTCATGAAAGTGGGTTGACATCATACAGTAGTGATGCCTGTACACGTTCTGAGTCCGAAGGGAGGAGGGGGCTTTCTCAGCGACAAAAAGTGATGGAAGTACGTTCCGAGACGTGGAAGGAGTGATACAGCGCTAGTGGACGTGAACGGTTCAAGTGATCAATTGCAGTAATATCCGGACCGAGCAACCGGCTCCAATGCATTTGCCCAAGAGCGGCTTCGATGGTATGTGGATTTGTTCCACGCATGATTGGACTGACTTCGAAATGAGGGAGCGATTCCAAATGCAAGAAACGCCAAACTCTCCAACGCTTTCTCCATGGTAATTTTACCGCCTGGTAGTACATGCCCAATTAGTGTTGGAGAATGGATATCTGTTCCCATCGGTATAGAGTTTAACAGCCTATACCGGCATGGTCAAATGGGCGAGTTGTGTAATGGTAGCACACTGAGAGGTCCTGGTTTCGATGCCAGGCTTGTCCATGATTTTATGTCCTTGTCTTGTGACCTTAACTGTATCATTCAGTTGGATCTCACGCAGTAAGTCCCGCGGGGCAATGTGAAATTTCTTCAATTAGTCTGTCTGCTCTGAGCTGCATTGCATGCTCTGCTCCTTATGATCTGAACCATCACCTTGCCTGCTGGCGACTTGATGATGTCTTCCTCGTCTTGGTGGTTTGACGGAACACCATCGAGATTTCGGCTCATTTTAGACCACTTAGTGACCCTGAACATTTGTGCAGACGAACAAAACTGCACGGTCAGGTCAGACTTGTTTAAGTATATCAATCTGTTACTGGATTCATGGTATGTTGTTCCACATACTCAAGCTACCAAAGATATGGAAGGGGCCTTGCGATGGTGGTTTACGGGGGATATTATCTTTTTCTCCATACCCAATTCTTTTTCTGCTGTTCGGTTGTCGTGCCAGTGATATCGTCTACACTGGCGTCACACTTCTTGCTGCAACATTGTAAATTTGATCGGTGACTAAGTACCGGGCGATCCTGATCCAAGCTCATCTGGAAACACACTAGAGGGCCTTCTGGTACTCCCCATTGTTGCGTTGGCACTCACCTTATTCATCCTTTTCTTGCTGTCGGTCTATTATGCGATTTGGGAATACATACCAGTTCGAATGCTCACGCGCTGAGATATTCATGTCAATTTTGTCATTTAGTAATGGCGGTCCCCAGCCCCAGTCCGAATTGTCTGTGATCCTTCTTTTGAGCTGGTTATGGCTCGGTAGGCTCTCCTTGGTAGGATGAGTGACGCGACGGTTATTCACCCCTTGAATTTTCCCCTGGGTCTTGGCACATACACCGGGTATATCGTCTTGTTGAACCCCAAGCTCTTATGTTGTGTACCTTGCCTGCTAGAGATTACATCGGATATACTCAATGCTATCTTCTGACGGGAACAATACCCGCATCCGGGAAAGACTGTGAGCCTGCCAATATGTGCCACCCCAGCCCCTGTACAGAGGCTAATGATGGGTCGATCAAACAACAAAGGTGTCAGCAGATCAAAGTTATTAACGCGGTTTCTCACTATCCAGTATCTGCTTACTGGGTACTTCTGTACTTCATTGTTGGCTTCGTTGAGACTCAAATTCATATGGGAAGGAAACATTGACGACGTTTTCCCGACCACCACCACCATCTTTCTGCTGAATGCATCATCTCCATTGTTCCTAACGTGGAACGAGATATCCTCAAATCTCAACTCGACAGAGGGGTGGAATGGTTTTTCGCTTCTCATCGATGATGGGTTGGTTCAGCGACGAGTTATAACATATCCTCGCTGGGTTATGCATTTCTTCAGACTGGCAGTGAGTTGTGCCATCACATTGCGGCATGATTCCTCCATTGGATTGGTGTTTCCTTTCCTTTCCCCCTGACATGTTCGCTTTTTCAGCTGCAGAAGGTGTTATAATCGCGGCATTGCAGCTGGACACACTGAGTGCGATATCACAATGTCATTAGATATTGCACTCAGCTCTACACATTTCTGTGTGGCGCAAATGAACAAAGGCTAAAGCGTTAGGACAACAAAACTGGGAACAATAACTGTAACAACAAGGGCATCGGAATGCCACTTCAACAGAAGGATGGAAGGAGCGGAGATTATACGAAAGCTGGATGAATGAGAGTTGGATTCATGTACTCCCTACACCCTCATAGAATCTCCGACCCTAACCTGGTATTGCCGCGTACTTAATCACATTCTACCATTACCTCGGAACAACTTGGTGTTAGAAACCACCTCTGCCTAATGCAGGCATTTAGTGTAATGGTAACACACTCTTGGTACCTATGCAGGGTTCTGCGGTTCGACTCCCAGAATGTCCATATTTTAGCATTTAGGTTCCCAAGACCACGTGTACAAATTCCAACATGGTGGACATTCTACGGAAGTCACCGAGCACACCCAAATCCGGTTGCTGCCACGTGAGATGGGCACGTGAAGTCAAGCATTAAATTAGCCGGCCTGACAAAGTTTCAGGGGGTGTAGCTCAGAGCACTAAGGACCCAAATCTGGCTGCTTCAGACCACATGACGTGGACATGTAGGAGATTAGCAGTAAGTCCGGCCTGAATATGAATTCAGGGGTGATGGCTCACGGGCTGTTGGAAGCCCGGTGGTTAGGGTCACATGTGGATCACAGGCTCAATCCAATGTGAAGGGGGTGTGTTAGAAACCGCCTCTGCCTAATGCAGGCATTTAGTGTAATGGTAACACACTCTTGGTACCTATGCAGGGTTCTGTGGTTCAACTCCCAGAATGTCCATATTTTAGCATTTAGGTTCCCAAGACCACGTGTACAAATTCCAACACTTGGGGATGTATCCAGGAAAGAGGCTAATCGGTGGTGAAATTTAGCCTGACATTACCCTTACATCAAGATGCAGGAGGTGTGGAAAGGTGTTTGACAAGAGGGAAAAAGACAACTAGCAGTTCGAGGTTGGGTCTTGCATGTGCTCACAAGTTTCCGAAACAACATTCAGAGTCAGTGAGACAATTTGATTTGGGTTGGCTAGGTACATTTGCAGGTGGAATTGCCCCTTCCGAAGTGCCTGCCAGTACCATGATCCTCTGCCATCCATTGCTGAATCACACCTCGTGCGGATGGACGTTTGTCCTGTAAGCAGTGTTGATTGATGCACTCGCAGCCGTTTCCTCTTCTTGGTGGCAACTGGCTGTCCCAGAATCCGATGATCATCACTCTGGCGACAGTGACTGAGTGTCATATCCATGCATACCCAATCCCGACCCGACTCCCGGACCTCCTTCTTCACCACCTCCGGAGTCCTACCCTACCGCTGTCCGTTCCGATACTCTCCTCAGACCGAACACCACTTCCTCCCACTCCTCTTCCTCCTCACAACACCTCCACCCTTCCGTCATTCTCCTACCCTTCACCTGTCCGCTCCGATACTCACCTTCGGACCTGACTCCTCTCCTCTCCTCCACTCCTCTCCCCTTTCCTCTTTCCTCTCTCTTCCCTCTGGCCCTCTTCCGCCAACCTTCCGCCACTGTCCCATACCTCGTACTCGGACACCGCTTGTACCTTCGCTCCAAGACTCCGTCATAGTTCCTACCTTGGACTTTGACTCCACCTCAGCTTTAGTCCATTGCATTGGTGACCTCATACTACGTAAACACCATTGCCAATATTCCTCAGACTTTCAACCCTGCCTCCGTAACCTCTGTAAGCTCTGCAACCTCCAAGCTCCACAGATCATCTTTGGCACTTTCACT